CAAGACGTTGGAGTTTGTTGAAGAGCTATTACCCAACGTCTTCTGGTATTACATCGAAGACATTGGTGTCTAAGGCACCTTCTTTTTTGCAGACTCAGTTGTTTTGGTGATCTCAGGTAAAGAGATTGGTTCGTGACGTTTGCCCGTTGAAGACTACCCCGTGGGCTCCAGTTCATTTTTTTTTTTCATAAATGTAAAGTTCTTCTTTCACAGACCTAAGAGAGGATCAGTGATTCTCGGTCGATGGCCTAGAATCAAGAGAATAATATAGAGTCGTTGGTCACCAGGGCTTCCAGACTTGTGACAAATATCTCCGCTCGTGACGTCTGCCAGTAAATGACTAACTTAGTTTAATAGTGGCCGGCTTTCCATAGTTTTTTAGTCAACGAATTGGTTTCAGAAATGGTAGTTAACATGTATTTGTTGGCCAGGTAGTTCAAACTTAGGTGGCCCTTAAAAGAACCAATAAGATTGATGGTGAAAAAGAGAACGTTAATACTTATAATAGCGCTAAAAAGGGCCAGTTGTGAAATTTCCAGTTATTTCTGATTATTATTCTTGACGATAAAGAGCCAGCTACGGGTAGCTTGACTCGTATACTTGGAGTCTTTGTGTACGGAGACCATACTGGAGGGAGGTATGCCACTGATTAAGAAATTTCTCGTCTTCAGGTTATTCTCCAGATAACCAACCGCTCATTTTTAGTGGAGAAAGGGGGCCTGGAGAATACCTTTTATAAAAGTATGTTTATTAGATGTCTACTTAAAAGGCGGCCGTTGTGGCTACCTGTACTATTCAGGGCTGTTTCTTTTATTTTGCATTTTAAGTAGAAAATTCTCTGACAGCAACATACCAGTTGGTTAAACGGCCTTACAACTCTACACTCTAGGGTGTTGGAGCAGGTTGTGCTCTGGCTAGACAGGTCTCCTGATATTTTCCTGGAGACCTTAACGTTTTTAACGCCTATTTTTTTGAGCACTCAGGTATCTTGGCAATCTGAGTTGAAAACTGATTTATTTTGCTGGCCCATGAAAAAAGAGTATTATCAGTAGCTGGGATACTTAATTGCATGACTAACAACTCTGTTTTTGGTGTTCTGCCGATGAACGACTACAACAATCGACAATTTGATGGGGCATCTGTTAACCACTTTTCGCTATCTCTTACTGTGGTTGGATTCCATTTCTTTCTGACGCTACCTAGCAGATTCTACTAAACTAAAGCGTAAAGGTAGCTTACTTTGGCAGAAATTTTAGCTTTTTTATCACTACTGTTATTGAAATAAAAAATAAAAAAAACTATACAAAAATCATTATCAAGTTATTAAGAATCAGAACGAAAAATTTTAGCATAATCGGTTAAGTAGTTTTACGGTTAGTGATTACTGCGATTTTAGCAACTTTACTTAATATATTATGAAATTGCTTATAAAAATCAAATTAAACTTTTCTTATACACCAAAAAACAGTGTATACATTGCATTTAAGTGCTTTGTATTCCAATTTTTATTTAAATAAATGTATAGTTTTCTAAAAAGTTATTAAGCGTAAGCAACAATTTTCCTAGAAAAAAACAATAATTAACTAGTTATTTTGTAGTATGTCAAATCGGGTACCAATTATTGTCTCTTAACAATTGTTCCACGAATTTCTTGTACGTACATAGCTCTTGTTAGTTTTTAGTAGCATTGTTGTTCATTAATGTGACTTACGACTAATGTTCAATGAGAAAATTAACTTCAAAATTTGTTACCAGAAAATTAAAGGAAATATTTTAAAAATCTTTTCTAAAAAAATCTGTGCAACAAATAAGATACGATTATCATAACAAGATTAACAAATAAACATTTTAGGGAACACAATGTGATTAACAAAAAAATTTGTATGTACGTATATTTATTTTTAATAATTCCATGGCAATGTTACAATTCTTAAACAATGATTCTAACTTCACATTATATATTTGGCACTTTGTTATTTTGTAATTATTATTTTATTTTCTAAATTTTGACGTATTGGTATAAAAAGCTCATACAACAATGTATTTTTAGCGTTTTTTCTTATAATTTTGACATAAAATCTGCTTAAACCAGAACGAAAAAGATATTTTAATTTGTGAACGTAAACCATATAACAAAATAGTACACAGAAAAGATCCTTACAAGAGATGAGTGCCTGCACATCTAACGCAAGAAATTCGGAATCTTAAAATAGCATAAATTATATGAGAGAAAATCACAATTTCAATGACATTTACAAATGGAAAATCAAGAACGTTTGTTATTTAATTGTAGTAACAGTAAAACATTTTTTTCTTATTGAAACAATTGGGAAAATTTATTAACGACTTAATTGAATATAAGTATTGCTTTTGTATATAGTTTTCGTGTATAATAATCCGAAAACAAATATGTTTCAAAGAACAGCAAAGTAATAACAAAGAACAAAGAAACAACGGAGTACTGTTAAGTGTAAGTGTTACCGTTACATCTTATAGCTATAACTAGATATAACGGCATTTTTTACGACTTGTTTTGTTATTAAAAAAAAAATCTATTGTTCTAAACGTCTCTGAGGACTCATTTCTCTCTTAGTCAAATATTCTTTTGTTTGTCAGTATTCGGGATATAACATTTAAAATTAAGATATTAATAAACAAATTATCTTATTAATATTATCAATGTCCAGTATGTTTTAAATTCATTCAGATACTACTTTTCTTAGCTAAAAAGTAAAATTAAAAATTTTAGTATAACTTGAATAATCAAATTAATTTGTGCCAAATACTTTGACACTTATGACTTTTTTTTCTTTAGCTTTTATTTGTTTTTTTAGCTGTGGAACCTGTCACCTAGTGTGTTGTCCCTGACATCGCGGCTTTCGCTATAGTACCCTCATCTTTTAGGACAGCAGCAGCATTGTCATCCACAAGCTGTCTCTGGATGTTGAAAGTGCTTTCATCATCCAAAGACGTGCATTTTTACTTTTCTTCCAGTTTATCTCTGCTTGGTGAATTAATCGTATACACATAATCAAGCACTTACAAAAACGATACTAGTTTAAATGTGGTAAGACAGACAAAAATCCTCTCCAATGAAAACTCAACATGAACACTTTTCTAACATCAAGACTAACGTATAACCTGATAATGGTATGGGAGTATTGACAAATTTAATTAAACACGGTACAAATATATAGTTTTATTGTAATTATCAGTTCTTATGTGAATAACAGAAGGCTATTTCAAATATACTTTAACTACCTACGTCATTATATACAGTGACTATTATTATTTTACGTGCACATTTATATTTAAAAGCAAAATTTACACTGTTCAAGAACAAAAGAAAGAAAGTATTTGGACAAGAGAGTTAATCAACAAACAGACAAGACGAGATAAAGAAAAGAGAGAGCTGTGGAGACATGTAGTACGTTAGGGCAGTGCCACTCAGCTCTGAGCTCTGTCAATAAATTTCAACTGAAGTTTAGCGACAGGTGCCAGTGATAAATAAAAAAAATAAATAATAAGCGTATTCATTAAGCATGTAAATCCATTCTTATAAAACTGTCTATAAACTAAAAGGTTGACCTTTAAACAAGATAGGTTAAATAGTTTTTCATTACAGCGTAAAACAATGAATAAACTTTAACTTTTTTTTAACAAGTATTTTAAAGTATCTTGTAGTCTTTAAACAACATTTATATAAAGACTAATCTCATGTTTTTAAATAGTTTTTTAAATATTTGAAAACAAGCAAACAGTACAGACGTAACTCCTGTTTTCGAAGAAATGTACATTCAAAAAACTATAAGGAATAGAATTCTTACACGGTGAGGAAGTATTGCATTAAAAGTCTTTCTTACCTCAATTTAGATGGTGACATGTAAAAATACTTTTCTGTCTGATTATATCCAAGTAGTAGGTATAAATGCTTAAGCACAGCATTTTGAGTTTTTGATAAGACCTTGTCATCGCTTGGATATGCCTTAAAAAAAAGAATACAAGATATAAATCATTTTGTTAGATATAAAATAAGATGTGAGGTACGATTAAAGTAAATAACGGTTAAAGTTTAAGATTTTAAACTTAATCTTTTTAAAGTTAATCAAGAAAACTTTTAAATCTTAGTTTTGATCTTAAAAAAAGGGAAATCTATTAGTGTGTACTAGTATACGAACTTCTTATCCACATTTTAGACCTAGCTTTTTGTCTTTTAGTTTAAATATATACAGGCTGATGTTTTATTTATCTTATTAAACAACACAGTTTCATAGTGCTTATGATACTCTGTATGAATATTTTTACCAACAAGACCCTAATTTCAAGGTATATTTTAATTATGCAGTATCTATTTTAACATTTCTTTCGACCTTTCAACATACTTTTTCTGGTTTTTTCAGTACGTACCGATTATCACTTTTACATTGGTATTTTACAAATATTCCTTCGTATTAAAAATTAACTTATGCTGCAACTGAGCTCTTGCATGCATTTTTTACAGCATTCAATAGTTCTTAAATAAATAAGAACATAATTTTTTCGTAGAAATTATGTCTTCCTTACATTAGCTTATCCATTTCGTTCATATGTGTTAAATATATGTTTTCTGAACTTTTCATTTACTACTCGATTAATCAAGTTACGTGGGAGAGCAATGAGGTTAGTTTAAGTACCATTAACTTTGAAGTTTAAAAATGGTGTTTTCATAAAAAACATGTTTTTATGCAATAAGCTAAGATAAAAAAGGATAGCCGTTTGTGTCTTACAATTTTTTTTTCTACTATGTCTTATATTATTGCAGCTCTTCCTAAGGCTTTTATTAATTTTAACAAAAAGTTAATATTTACTTTAAAAAAATCGAAGAATACAGGTATTAAAAAGGTATTTGGTAATTTTTACTTACCAACATATAACGCAGAGATGACAAGAAACATTTGTATGGTATAAGCATATTGTCTCTGTCTTTTACCATTGGAATCTGTTACAACTTAAGCATCATCATGCCACCAAAAGCATCAGGCAAAGCCATCAAAAAAGCTGGCAAAGCAGTGAAGGACATTTCTAAGGGTGACAAGAAGAAGAAGCACAACAAAAGGAAGGAAAGCTACGCCATTTTTATCTGCGAGGTTCTGAAACAAGTCTATCCCGACACTGGCGTATTTTCCAAAGCAATAAGCATTATAAATTGCTTCGTAAATGACATCTTCAAACGCGTTGCCTTCGAAGCTTCCCGTTTGGCTCATTACAACAAGCGATTCACCATGACTTCTCGGATAATCCAAACAGCAGTCAGACTATTACTCCCTAATGAGCTAGCTAAACACGCCGTCTTTAAGGGAACCAAGACTGTTACCAAATACGCAAGCTCCAAGTAAATTAAAAATTCGCTAAAATATTGATCAGCTCAAAGGGCATAAAAGCTCCAAATTTCCAATAAAAAGTACATCTGTACATATCACTACAAAACAAGGCACTGTTTATAAACATACACTTTTTTTCTGAAATGCTTTTATACAACTGGTAGAAGCCTCTCCGTTTTAGTGCCACTTAAACAGAGCTTACCAAGTCAGTAGTTACCTCTTGTATTCTGTTGTCAACTTATTTATAAAAGTAGTGCAACGACAGAAGGTATCTTTATCACTTCAAATAACTTATTCTTGTTGCAGCACATAATGCGGGTATTGTAGAAGATCTGAATAATAAGTTTTTTGCTTTAAGAATTCATTAAATGCAATAAGCTCTGCTGAATTGTCCCATTAAATTGCTCATGTAAATGAGATCCACAAGAAAATCAGCACTTCAGTTAACAAAGTAACAGAAACAACACATACGATCGTCAATACAAATCTGAACAAGTTCTGATCACTATGACTCCCTTTTAGCTCATGTATTTGAGATTATAGATCATTGTGTATTTACATGCTTAATAAAAACTCCCAAATCAGGAAATTTAGGGTAACGTATTAAAACCAGAGAATGACTTCCAAGACTATGTTGTCATGTATTCAAATATAAGATCTCGAACGTTGGCAAAACAGGAAAGATGTCAATCATTCATAGAATAACATTACACTTCTCAGAAACTGAGAATCCTTTTGTATAAAAAAAATTTTTAATTAATTTAAATTTTGCAATGACAATCCCTAATAAAAGTTCAAGTGACAAAAATTTAGTCCTGAAATAATGAAGTAACATCTAAGGCAATAAACACATTAGTGTTCGCTTACCATCATGCGTTTCCACTTTTCAGCTTTAATTCTCAAAGCATAATAGTTAACTACTGCGTAAATAATTTTTTACACTTCTTTCTTAGTACTTTTTTTTATTATTAAGCGTCCAATAAGGTAAAAAAGTAATAAGTTAGTAAGATACATGAGGATAAAGCAGTCAGTAAGTTACAAACTTTTTCTGATTCACTATCTTACGATCATTACGTTTCTTAGCTAGTTGGTTAAGAAAACCGTTGTGATTCTTAAGTTGTAATTTACTTAGCAAGATTAGATTGTTGTTAAATTATGAATTTCGAGAAAGCTTACTGTTTACTTAATGAGATGTAATATCCACCAAATAATAATTTATTATTTTTTTGTTCAAATTTTCGTGGCCAATCAATGGTACATGAATTTGTAGCTCAACCCGTAACTGCCCACCTGGCCAAGTACTACGTCGCGTGTAAACATAACCCTTTGTCCCGGTAGTTGACCTTTAAGCCGTGCGTGACAGGGCTGTCGTACTTACGTTCCGTGCATATTATTTTATAATTAATAAACTAATCAAATAATTTGATTGGTTATATTTGAATTTCTTATCACGATAAGTATTTAATACAAATTTTCTTATATTACTTCTTACTAAATAAATGTATTCTTTGCTCAAAGCAAAAAAATTTCGATTAATAGTTTGTTTTGTTTACAGATTAGTACTTAAGTATTTAATAGCAAAACAAACTAAAAACGTAAAGGCTAAGCTAACTTATAGCCAAGAAGACCTCCAGAATGGCCTCAACGCAATGGATGAAGATATGTCAGCACGCAAAGCTGCTGTTACTTTTAATGTACCTAGAAGTACATAACAATCAAAATTAAATTATCAAATTCCTGTGAACTGTTCAAGAGGCCTAAGCTCATTTTTTACTGTTAAAGAAGAGAAGTCTATAGTTAATTGGATTTTTTACTGTTCGGATAGGGGTTTCCCTATAACGAAAGACATGCTTATCCAATCTGTTCAAGATTTAGTTATTAAACTAGAACGTGAAATGTTTTTTAAAAACAATGTACCTGGCAGGCATTGGTATAAAGCCTTCCTACGACGGCACCCCAGTATAAGCAAAAAAGTAGCTCAAAACTTGAGGACCCACAGAGTAGCTGCCAACGAAGAAGCTTTCATAAACTGTTTATTGAAGTGGGTAATTATTTGGAAAAATTGAAATTAAAAAGTATACTCCTATCACGCATTTTTAATTTTGATAAAAGCGCTTTTTTTCTTGTACCCAAAGCTGACATAGTGCTAGCACAAAAAGGTTCTAAGGCTGTGTACAAGGTAGTGCATGGTGATGAAAAAGAATTCATAACTGTGTTGTTTACAGTGAATGCTGCAGGTACAATTCTTCCACCACTGGTATTGTACTGTTATGAGAGAATCCCAGCAAGTGTAACCAATACTCTACCATTAGGGTGGTTTTTTGGTAATACAGAAAAGGGTTGGATGACTGGTAAGATTGTTTTTCATTACATAACAAAGAAATCCCGCCCCTGGCTTTAAGAAAATCAAATTGAGTTGCAAGTTATATTGTACGTTGATGGACATACCTCGCATCCAACGTTACCTTTTGCCCAGTTTTGCTTATCTAACGGTATTAAACTTATATTGTTGTACCCAAATGCAACACATATTCTTCAACTACTTGATGTGGCTGTTTTTCATCCATTCAAAAGTAAATGGAAAAAAACTGTTGATAATTGGAGGATGGCTGAAAACGAAATGCAGACGATGAAAAGGGAAAAGCTGTGCTCCTTTATTGAAAAGAGCGATGGACCAGGTGGAAAATTTACCTCTTACAATACAAAATGGATTCAGATCATGTGGCCTTCATCCCTTCGATGTTCATGCAGCCAATTTAAATCCATTAAGAAAAAAAGAAATGAAGCATTCAATTAGATCCAAGACATAATGATAAAGAGACTCCAAATGGCCTAGAAACCAAGTCCAGTGATTCTAATAACTATATTTCATCAATTCAAAAAAGTTTGGATCGTTATCAACAGTCAGAAGTACTGGAAGATTTAAAAAAATGAATTACTAATGGTACTTTTCAACTGAGTGACGATAAAAGTGAGGGCATGTTTTTTGTATTGGCTGCATTAACAGGGTTGAAATAATTTTAGTATACGTATAAGTTACAACAAAATTTTTATTATTTGAGAATTATTTGCAATAATTTTGAAACTGAAATACAATTTGAAATAGGCTCATCATGGCATGACAATACTTCTATTTTATACTGTATTATTAAAAGCTCATGTATTATGGCTGCAGGTATTACACTTTGTAATAATAGCCACAATGGGCTAAACCTGATGTAAGAGAGTAAAGGATCTGCAGAGGACGACGCTTCGCACTTACAGACAGATGTGTGAAAACTAGAAGCTAATGAGACAACTGTCGAAAATGATATACATCATATTGACCCACTGGAAAAAACGACAGTACTGTCACTTTGACAAGAGCGAGCAGAACAACATTGTCTGAGCCACCAACTTAACACTTCTTCAACAGTGCAGGGTGTCGTGTCATCGTCACTCTAGAAGCACACGTCTTTCTTAAGTCCGATGCTCCAGTTCTCGCCCACGACCCTTGTCGTCGTGCCACCACCTGACCCAAGTTCAACGCTCCAGCTCTTGCCCACGACCCCTGTCGTCATGCCACCACCTGACCCATGTCCAACGCTCTAGCTCTCGCCCACGGCCCAGGTCATCGTGCCACCACCTCTCCCAAGACCAACGCTCCAGCTTTCGCCTGCCGTGGCCCAGGATGTCGTGCCACTACCGGACCCAAGCCCAACGCTCCAGCTCTCGCCCACGACCCATATCGTCTTGAAACCACTTGACTCAAGCTCAATGCTCCAGTTATCTCATTCAGCCACGGTTGTCATGTCTTTACCACTTCATAAATAAAATTAATGAATTCCATTGACTCTTAAAGATGCTCAGGAATTATCAAAAGGTATAGTACTTATGAGTTTAATCCCCCCCCACCACAGTTTACATTTTTCTCTTGTAAAGAAATAACTTTTGTTAAAAAAAATCAAGGTGATATTGACGTACAGTCATGATTACCACCTGCTTTTCAAACTGCTTTTGTTTGGCCAAAACATATTCCAACACAGAAGAATAAAAAAAAATTTAATAGCAGCCTACTTTGTTTAAACGAGTGGCAAGAGTATCATGTAAAAATTTCTGAAGATAAAGGGAGTTGAACAAGAAAATAGAAAAATATAATTGGAAAACACTTTTAAAAAAAATGCTGCAGCCGAAAAGAAAAAGAAAATTGATAAACAAATTAAAGAATTGCAGAAGCAAAAGAACAATATTGTTAAAAAAATTAAACAAGAAAAAATGTAGTCCACAACTTACGTATGATATTTATAATAAGTCGTTACTGTACTGTAAAATCTAAACTTGTTCTAATTAAAAATTTCTAGTATATATGTATTAACTAGTGAGGCTTCGCGCCCCTGCACGCTCCACTGGCCAATCTTCTACTGTTCTAACTTAAAAGAAGAGTCTTTAAATTTCATCTAGTAGTGGGGAGAGATTGGTGCCCAGAATCTCCTGAGAAGGAAGGGTTTTTGATCTATATCGTTAAGCATTAGTTATATATTTATCAGTTAATTTTCACACTACCCAGAAGGTACTACTGTGGTCCGTTAAGAGTTTTTTAGAACTCTTCGTTATGTTTAGAGAAAAAAGGTGTACATTATTTTTTTAATGGTTGAATTCTAAAGAACATAAAGTTTTAATAACTTTAATCACGTCTAAATTATTTAAATTTTATATAATGTATACTTAATATTATTTTTGTTACTTTCATGCATTCTATATTTTATCCATTGATATAAGTGGTTAGAAAAAATTTTTCATTTTCAGATTCAATGACAAAT